CTACACATTCCTTATTTTGCTTGTATTTCTAGTATCCTTTATAGGTACGGGTCACCTACTTGTGCGTGTACACAATTTAAAGTGGCCAAACACAAACAAAATAACAGTTTGCAAATAATCCCTTTGAGTACGATCAGGCAAGCCCTATTCCTTTAACTGTTCACAAAGTCTCTTATTGCCCTGTGAATAACTTAGAGCAGTGTTTCTCAACCTCGGCAACTTTAAGATATGTGGACTTCAACTCCCAGAATTCCCTAGCCAGCCAGTAAGTGAAGCTCAGATAACACATATACTAAGTACACCTCACTGCCCTATTAGCAGCCTGGGCTCCAATAGACCTGCTCTTGTAGGTCTGCAGTTGTGATTCCACAATTATTTTCATTTCTCTCTCTTTCTATAGCTTCTCTCTTTTCAATCTACATAACTAGCTATTGTGCAAGCCATTCTGTAATATAACACACACACACACACACACACAGTTTTATTTAACTTATATATGGGATGTATTTTTATATAACAAATAGCTTTAGTACTTGTGTTTTTGAAAATTATTAACCTCAATATAGTAATCAACCAGAAATAGTTTACCCTTTAAATAAAGGGTTTCCTGTAACTAGCTGAACAAGCTTCTGGACATGTGCATGCATGAACCTCTCAATTCACTATAAAATTTTCAATGAAGGGTAGCTAGCTCGTCAGTTGGAAATTGTTTGATCTGGTTTCAAGGAATGTGTATGCATGACTGGATAAGCATGCATGCCTCTTACATGACCGACTAGAATGTGTGTCTAATGTCATAATAAGGGGCAGAACACCAAGCTGCTTAAATTTATTGAGTTGTCTTTCAATCCTCCTTGTTTTAAGAGGTTGATTATGATCCTTGGAACCAAGTAAAATATGCTGCAGAACTGATTCTCTTTATCTTACTGATTCTCAACCTAACAGAATCAGTATTCATGTATGTTGTTATTTTTGGAGCAAGCAACTTGTACTTGCAATAGATCCTCACTGCTTAAATAAACAGAAAATCCAACCAGCCTAGCTCACATATCAGACCTTTGGCAACTGTCAGGGTATCTTTTAACAAGGTCTCCTTTCAACAGTATCAATGCGGTATGCCAACTCTAAGAGCTGTAAAGGCCATGGCTTACTTTTATGGAGAGAGAATATTTGAAACAATATTTGCGCCATTCATCTTGCAGGTACTAGAATGCAGGGGCCCACCTGAATTAGAATGTCCAGAATTAGAATGATTCTATTGTTACAGTACTGGAACACTCTATTTGTTTAAAATAAAGACACTGGTCCTTCTAACAATGTAAGTTTAGTAAGTTCTTTTTAGGTCTCCTTGATGGCCTTGTGGATGAGCTTGCAAAGAAACCTGCATGTTATAACCAATGAAAAAATAAACAATACTGTTCACAGTTTCTGCTTCCTATATTATAATAGCTCCCTAAGTCAAGGCCATTTTCTTCTCTTTCAGTTATAGTGTGTGTGTTTTTTAAATTATTGTAAGATATGTGGCATTCTTCTCATATACTTGGCACACTTGCCTTGACATGAAATTAAAA